AAAAAAAAAAAAAAAAAAAAAAAAAACAACGACTTACAAACTTAAGAATTGGTAGAACTGGAATGAAACAAGAAATCAATGAAAGCAGAACATATCAAAAGTCATGATAGAAAGCTCAGAAGATTAAACTTCAAGTTTGCTAAGTAAAGGTTAAAACAGATTTACGTCAAGGACTGACGAAATCACGTGTTTGTGGTGACCAGTTTTTAAAGAAACTTTGGCACGTTTTACGGGTACGACACATGGCAGTACTAGACAGTAGACCCATAATATAAAGACCACACAATTCAGTTTAGTCTAGTATTCTCCCCATTAAGTTTTGTACTCTGAAAGTTGTTTATGTTATGACGACAATATGCCTTGTAACTTTTATTCTCTTAATAATTTTTCCCAAAAAAGCACAAACTTTTTGTGAAGTGACTTAGTACAATGAATTCTTAATTCCTAATCATATCATGACTCAAGCTAGACTGATAAGATTTTGGGTAGTTATGAAACATTCATGTGAAGTGAAGAACTCAAATTATGTTCCAAGACACCAGACAGGTGTGGAATATTCATGAAGAAAAAAAATAGTCCAAGATTCTCTTAGATTGTTAACATCACCGAGTTTTAATTATTTCCTACTGTTCCAAATAATGATACCAAAAACGTCTTTATAAAGTTAATCCAGAGATATCAAGCACATTTCGCGTCACTAGTCATTTCCTTTACGATATTTATGTAAACATTAAATATATATTACAATAATCATGTGAAGTATACAACATTTCTTTGACAAAGTCTCGTGAATGACTGATAGAATTTTGATCAGTGACCTTAAGTATAAAATGTTAAAAAATCAATTGAACCAAAACACTTAAGATGGATCTAATGTAAAATCTCCTAGCGAATGAGTAATCAATTATATTTTTTATCTGTATGTTTGAATATAAGGTAAAATAATTTAATATTTCACATACATAAGAGACAAAAATAGTAGGTTATTAGGCGAAGCAATTTCTATAAAATGGAATGTCAGCAAAGTGTTATAGTAACTACAAAATTTTATTGAACCAATAGTAGTATCTTATTTTTTAAGTTTCTAAAATCTAACTAAGTCATGAAGTGGAATTTTTATAAATATGTCCGCACCTATATATATAGGCTTCTTGCGTGAAATAATATTGCAGGTAAAATGATTGAATTTGAAAGTCATGGCGCTGTCGCTATCTCTAGAGATTCGTGTACTAAATAAAATGAACGACTTAGTGATTGCACGACATATATATATATATAAACCGGTGACTCAAAAAGAAAAACATAGAACAGTTAAAAAGTCAGGACTATCTTTGCGTTGTACACCAAAAACCAGGAATAATATTGAAATCTATGTTGATATACTCAATTTACAAAAAATACTGGAAAAAAATGTCTGCGTTTCAAAAGACCTGGGATTTTTTCATGCGCTAACAACAAAATTGTTTACAAGAAGTTTTGTTAATCATGCAGTTATTAGATTACGATCAAACGAATAATAACTATATAGAGCAGAACTCAAATAATTTCAAAACTTACAAGTAAACGAAGAAAAATCTGCACGACAAACTAATTACAAATACTGAATTTCATAAACATGTACACCGGAAAAGTTATTCATAATCATTAAAATTCATTAAAACATTGGGTGCCTTCACTATTAGCGATATTTTCGTCCGTAATCCCAATAACATCTACGAGATTCAACTAGCTTTAGAAATTTAAGTTAATCTGGGCAAGGTATTCACTACAACACGCCCGACTCATCTGAAATTTATAATTATCAACCTGAGGGATAACAGTTCTCGTCCCGTTGCTGCAAAAGGAACGTCCCATTTTGGAGCCATTTGGTACACTATAAGAGTGAAGGCCAAATCTCATTATTCGGTCAGACAATAGTAGCCCAAGAACTGGCGGTGATGCTGTTGCTCTGCCGCCTGCCTTCCAATCTATCAGTTGAAAGCTCAAAGTTAGAATTGGCTATGCGCAGATACCCAATATGTAGATTTGAGCGAAAATTCTAAAGCAAGCAAGCAAAAGAAAAAAGGAATTCACCTACTAAGCCAACAATGTAAAACAATCTCTGGAAGTGCAATTATAATCTACTGGCAAAACATTTCCGGTCAAATTAGTATCTTTATCATAACAGTACTTCTTTAAATATGACATTTCTAGCACAAACGAATTGTAATCGTAGACAACGAAATGTGTAAATCCATTTGTATATAGGACGTACTTTATAAAACTTTAAGTTATGTTAGGCGTAAGTTTGATAAAGAGATAAATTAACACTGTAACTTGTGTTACTTTTTTTTTTACTTTAGTTTCGTTAGGACTAAACTTTAGTGTACTTAATAGTATCGATAAATAAACGGATAATGTTATTTTAGGACCTAGTGT